TGAACTGCCAGCACGAGGTCGCTCAGGCAGCAGGGACTGACACTGCACAGCAAGAGATGCGAGGGCTGCGCCTCCAGCTGCTCCCTGAAGTGAAACTGGTGGGACTGGGGCTGTGATACTTGGGAGGGAATGGAAAATCCACGGCTTAATGTACCTCACATTGACCTCAGACAGCAGGACTGCTGCTGAGAATGAAATCGTTAATGCTTTGTAACGTCACATTGGCCATTGTCACAAGAATTTTGTGGGTTGCTCAGCTGTGAGGTAAGGCGCGAGAAGAACACGGTGACTAAGTTTCCTGGAATAAATTAAGCGATGGCTTTCTGAAGTATGTGAACTTGCATAGCAAAACAAAGCAGGGATCGCTGTTCTCTAAACACGGTGGATATCTTCTGTGCCTGCAAATTTTCCAACTCTTAAGCTGGAAAAGGGAAATCTTGGAGAGCTTCACTGCTGATGACTCATATTTAAGATAAAACACACATTTTTTTAATAGCAAGAATAATTAGTCATCAGAGTCAACTAGCCAATGCTGTAGTAAATCCTTTGGCACCCTGGGACTGGAAGAGCTCTTTCTGCTCTTTTTCAGTTGCAAATTACAGAGTTTTGCGGGATCACTGGATGGAACCTAGGCCCTGCATTTTCTTTTTTGGATTACAGGATAATAGTCTCTTTGAACCAGTAATCCATGACTATCCATTGAATTAAAAGCAGTCAGGCAAATATTTCATATGCCAATACTATGGATATTTGCGTTTATGGTTTTTTAAAATCCTGTTTCACATAGTGCTAGAGAGTTCCCTTCCTCACCAACACCAATTTAAGGCCAAAATGTGATGTGTTGTCTGTTTTATTTGTGCAAGAGGAAGAGATTGCCTTTCTCTGCAGTACATCTATAGAAATCAACCCTGTCTTGGAGGTTCCTTTGAGGAACAGCCCCCTTCCCAGCAAGGGGTCAGAGGGTTTGCTAAGCACATTTTTTTACCCAAATGAAGCCAAGCTTGTGCAATAGGATGGCACAGACATTTGCACTCTTTTCCCTACTTCCTCGTGACTTTTGAACCTGCTGACCAGTTTCTACCCAGTTTTTGCAGAAGGGAAGCAGTCACTACGATACCATCTTCCTGTAGCTTACTGGCATCTGGGCAGAGGAACAAGGGGACAACTTCTGAGTGAGCTCAACATTTTGAGACACCACAGAGTCCACTTGGAGATGTTAAGAACAGCCCAGACAGAAGACTGCACTTGGTGAGGTGCCTGCAGGGAGCAAGGATGCTTCCCACGGCTTTCCAGAAAGAACGAGAGCAGATCCTTGCTTGCTGGCCAGGACAGCCAAGCCAACAGGCAAAGACTGAGGAACTGCAGAGCTCCAGCTCTGTGCCAGCCGCAGCCCCCAGTGCTTCTCCTTCCTCCGGGCTTGTGGTTAGCGCAGCATCTCGCTCACCCCAGCCTGACCACAGCCTATGCAATGAGCCCTCCTCCAGAGCAAAGCCTCAACGTGCCAGTCCTGGCGGCTCTTGTTGCTCTTATTTAAGACAAAAATGGCTCTTAAACAGCTGATATTTCAAAGGGGGTTTTATTGCCAAATCTCAAAGCTCTTTACAAGTGGGAGACAAAGTGCTGCCTCTCCACGGGCTGCAGCAGCTGCTTTTCAGACTGTCATCCACATTTGCTCGCTTGCAAACTTCCTTCCTTCCTGTCACAGACATGTAACCTGGTGGCACAGCACAAAACAGACTCACACCCCAGCGCTCCATGCCCAGAGGGTTTTCAGGCACAAAACCCAGCCTTAGTGCAGACAGAAATTAGACGTAAGTTTAAATGGAGGTTTAAAAGAAGATTTTTTTAAAAGTGCACGATGACAGGATGTACACTGAAGAAGGGGGGTGCCGTGTGAGGTCAGGGCAGACCAGGATCCTGTCTCTGACTCAGCCCAGCGCTGCCATTTTCAGAGGAGTACATAAAAACACCCCAGGACACAGTTGCAGGAGAACCCGCTCTCCAGCCCAAGGCAGGGCCTGGCTCATGACTAGAATGAGAAGAACAAGTGGGAAAACTGCAGAAGGAACATGATGTGTTTTTTCCTGCAAAGTCCAGGTGAATCAGGCTTACAGCTGGGCTAGACATTTTAGGATGAAACTGCTAACCCGATTAGAAAAAATAGTTAAAACCAAAGAGTCTAGCTAACATAGCATTTTCAGCAGTAGAGTTACTGGGTGCTACAGAGATTCCACTTAAGTTACACCTATTTACAAGACATAATACAAAACTGGTAAGTTCTGTTAGTACAGCAAATACAGTAATTAGCTGTAGCTTGTAAAATGATTTAACTTGCCCATTTCCTAACAGATACAGGGTTTTTAATCTGTTAAGATTCCTACTGATGGGTATTCAGTAAAATGTCAGACATTTATTAATTAGAATATTCAGTATAATATAAAAATATACAGTAACTATAAGCACATCCTGTAGGTTTGGCTGTAACAGCTAGGGATATCTGGGTATTTTCATCAGCGCTTTGCCAGATGGGTATCCACAGAACACACCGCCACAAGAAAACACCCGTGAGAGCAAAAGCATTTGTATATAATTCAGGGGACTGAGCTGTCCCCCAACCTGTTTTCATTCTCCTGGCTTTTCTGTTCCAGGCTTTGATTTGCCCATCCTGGAGTTTAGGACTGGCTTCTGCTTTGGGATATGAACCTGTACGCAGAGTTTGCCCTGGTTTGTGTGTCTTCCTGCTAGTGTGAACTGCTTTCTCCACCATCTAATTTATCTCTTGTTCTAGAACTGCATCTTGCAAAAGCCTGCCCGCTCTCTGAAGCTGATGTCCCTCGACTTCCAGTGCACACCAGGTTCTGACAACTCACATTCATACCACACAGTGTTCGGTAAATAAAAGTGCACATGCAGAAAAAATACATTTAGATAGCAGATAGGCACTGAATATTGTCTGTGTTATTAGCCCTTGTCCTAACTGTGTCTGGAAAGGCAAATAAGACCCATGGTTCACATTGAATCTACAGCAGCAAAATGACACAGATCCAGAGTTTGCTCCAGGCTACGTGCCTGGGAGTGGGCTTAGGATGTAGGAAACTTTTTGTCTCAAAGCAAAGCTTTTTTGGCACCTGAGCCCCGAGTGTTTGACTCTGTAGAACTTTCCACATGAGAGAAGAATGAGTGAATTTCCATGCGATATCTATGGCTGTCTTGAGAGGGGGACAGACCACTGAAACCAAGGCTGCTTTAGTCAAAAGAGGCAGAAGCATCAGTTCTAGTTGCTACCTGTCACACAAATCACAGCCTCTTACTAGCTACTCCGAAGAAAATTAACTTTGTCTCAGCTGAAACCAGTACAGCAGCCTTGTGGAACCCGGGAAATTATAAAGGAATGAACAGAAGGAAAACAAATGGGTGAGCTAAGAGGGCAGTGGTGGCAAATGAGATAAAAAAGCTTAGGTGGCATGTCACTCCTTAAAAACAGGCTTTTAAAAACCAGCCCTTTTCTGTGCTTCCAGGGTCTGGCTCAAGCAAAGGAGAAGCCCTTTGGGCTCTCATACGATTCTCCTCAGAGCAACTATAGAGAATAGGGGAGGGGACCCAGCTCAGGTACAGGGCTGTACAGCAGCGCAGCGGTGCAAAGACATGATTTTATCACAGCTGGAATCAATAATGACCACAGGAACTGTGGTTGCCTTCAGCAGGTGGGCGGGGAAGCTGTGGGAATTGTGCCGGAGACTTCTGCAATGCCTTCCTTGGACCCTTTTGTAGCCGTGCATTTTTATTTTAATATACTTAAGCCACTGGGACCAGCCCCAGAGTTGTGCGTGCAAAATGCCTTTCCCTCCACGTACTGCAGTTACAGCCGTCTGTGCCAAGCCAGGCCTCTCAGGCTCGCCAGGACACAGCAGGTATCGACCTGTTAAATAGGAAGAGGGATCTCATCCAGACCCACTGCCTGCTGTGTGTGCTCCTGTCAGTTAACATCCCAAGACAACACAGAGAGCGAGCCTCCAGCCAAGGGAACACACATCCCAAAAGCTTTTTAATGACAGCTCTCCTCGGAAGCTCCTGGGGATCTCCTGGACACAAGTTCTCCAAACGCCTGGCTAATCGTTCCCAACGATGACGAGGGGATTCAGAGTTACCAGCTAGGTACAGTCCTCAATAAGAAACGTGCTGCTAGAAGACACTCCTCCAAAGGCCAAGCGTAACCTGCTCTTTGCCTCAATTTCCCTATTAATGAAACAGGAACAATTAATACCTGCCTGGCAACGATGCATTAAGACTTGGCGTTTGCTTACGCAGTGCTTAGCACACCTAAAGCGCTGCACAGCCAGACTCTGAAGGCTGCCTTCGTCCAGCTGCTCCACATCTGAGGACACTCCTTGCAGTCAGGAGTTGGTTTGCCTCTGTGTGAGGTCACTTTTTAACTGTGGATGTGGTTTTATGAGTATGTTTGGAGTAGATTAAACAATTTATCTTGACATTCCTAGATGTCACAGGGCCAGGTGGTCTGGGAAAGCTTGCCAGCAAGTGAACAAACACTGACTACATTTATCCTTCAGTGATTTAACTGGGAAAACCAGATAGGTGCCAGTGCAATCTGGTATCTGCTTGTCTGTAAGTACAGATAGACAGGGGCTTTTGCTCGAATAGCCATTCTGCTCCTTTTTAAATCTGGCTTGATTACCAGTAATTTTTAAGGCCTGATCCATTGAAAGGACTTTGGACCGAGTCCTTAGTGAGCATTCACATTTTTCTAAACCGTTCCATGTCCAGTAACCTTCTGCTGTGCTAAGAGGATTAGAACTGGCCTGGTATGTACAGCATGAAGAAAGAGAGAAAGATGCTATAACTGAAAGCTGAATTCTGTCCCCTAAATGTGGTGTGTGCACAGCAAAACACCGCCTTTTAAACACTGGCCTAGCAATGGTACAAATCATAAATGGCAAATGTTTAGCTTTGATTTTGAGAAAAAAGTCTCTTTGAGGAGTATGTCAGGGAGCGCTTCTCCTATAAAGAGTCACTAGATCCTTTTGCTTTTCTTTCTGTTTCTGTGTCGCTTCTTTTTTCAGTTCTCCAAGACCTTTAATTTCTTGCAAAACTTGTGTAGCTTGCCGTAGTTGTTCTACTGCCTCATTGAGCAATGTCTCTGCCATCACTGGGGGTCCATTCCCCTCCTGGGCCTGTTCCAACCCTTCACGTAAAACCTTCTGCAGAAGTTTTTCTGCCTTTTCCCTTTCATTAGCAACTTTCTCCTCCATTTTAGCCAAGCAGTGAAGGGAATTCTTGGGGAAACCCTGGCTTGGAAGTGCTTTCTGTGTATTTTTGGAATCAGACAGCAAGTCTCCCAGAGAAGAACTGCGAAGTTTGAGAACTGAAGTGCTTTCTACAGATGCTTTCTTCTCAACAGTTGCTTTTACGCTCTCATGGCCTGCTTCTGTAGCTAAGGAAGTCTGTGTCTCTTCTGCTGAACTTTGCTGTTCCTCCTCAGCAGGGGTTCCGCCATTTCCTTCTTCAGTTTCAAGGGCTGGGGACATGGACTCTGCTACCTCGCCTGCTGTGATCCCATTTATTGGGGGCTTGGAGCTGCCAGACTCCAGGTCTTCCCGGTCCCCAGCTTCCAGGTCACCATGGCTGGAGTTCATCGTGGCAAGCATTTTTTCTGACAGAACCTTAGGAGGAACAGGAGGCTTTGTAACATCTGCAGCGGCAATCTCAGCAAGGTTGTCTTTGCTACTGTCTCCTGATGGTTTCAAGTCTTCTGTGGTTTTAGTCTCAGAGGCTGGTTGGTCCCAAGAGACTTTTAGCTTGTCTGGCACGCTCTTAGGAAGAGGAATTAGAGTTTTTGGTATGCCCTTGTTGCTGACCTCAAGGTTCTCTCTGTTCTCCTCACTTTGTGCTTGAGATTCCTCCATGTTCTCTTCTGGGCTTACAGAGTCCTCTTCCTTCGCACTGACATTGTCCTTCGATGCTAAGCCTTCCTTGAGCTTCTTATCTGGAGGCAATGGAGGAGACAGAGGTTTTTTATGTTCCTGCTCAGGAACGTTGTTCTCTGCATCTTGGTCTTCTTTTGTGCCAGTGGGTTTTGTAGGTGGCATAGGTGGCTTTGGAGTTTCTTTCTGAGGTGGCTCATTGTCACTTTCACTGATGCTGGAATCAAAGGTTGGTGGTCCGTTGTCTACCATATCCAGATCTAGTCGCAGGATACCATCTGATGTAGACTTGGCAGCCTGAAACACAAGAGAGAACTTTTCCCATATCTATCCCACTGTCAATCCCGTGCTCCATCCTTTAACTTCCAGTTAAAGTGCAGGACCCTCCCAACCAGCATGGCAAGCAAGGGGTTGCTGCTTCACACATCCACCCCATTTATACTTAAATCTGTCAAAACTGCAAGGAGAACCTGACTGATAACAAAAATGGTGCTTTTAAGAGCAGCTTTTTCAATAGTGCAAGAGCAATCTATGGAGCTTGTGCTTCTTCCATATAGCATCACCCTGTGCAACCCTCTAACGGCAGTAGCCAGCTCTACCAGCGTTCATCTGGTAAGTGAAACACAATGTGATAGCTATGCTAAAATTTAATGAGCTACAGTAATCACAAATACCAAACATTTCACCCAACAGAGAAGAAAGTCGTGTCAAATCACATACATTGCAGCAAATCTTGAATGCACCAAGTGAAGCCCTTCCACCCTCCTGCGTAGCCCCGCTTTTTCCCCCAGACCAACACGTTCTGAATGTCATGAGCATTTTTCTGCCGAGTTATTTTCTGCCTGATAGTACAGCAACTCGCATGAGAATATCAAAGCCAATAACCATAAGCAGTTGAGAATTAGGACAAAAGTACAGAACTTATTTTACTACTTCCCTTGAGCAGAACATCTCAAAGCCTGTCCACAATAACCGTATTTCTTGGTCTTCCTGTCAGTGCTAAGTGGTCAGCTCTGCTATTTTTTAATTCTTTATCCTGTGGTTGCTGGATCCCTCTACGCCCATCATTTGCAGCGTGCCTATCAAAAGCACACTTGCTTTCTGCTTTTGGGACTGTCGTATTTTTACCTGAATATATAAAACAAGTTGATCTTTGCATCACTTGGCCAGGGATAAATACCACTGCCTTCTGCTTGCTTCCTCCAGCCTGATGTCATCCCTGTCTTACAGGGCCAAGCCTCAGCTGGTTAAACCTCCTTCAAACCACAGGCTGGGAGCAAATCACTCTAGCAACGTCCTAAAAAGGACGGACTTAGTAAAGACATTGCCCCAGAGGGAGAAACGTGGTGACAGTTCCTGTGTGAGGGGACCCAAAACCACACGAAGGCCAGACTCCTGCAGTGCAGAGAGTTTAGTTAAAGTCTCTCTTTGCCTTTCCAGCCCATCAGAGGGATGAAGACAAGCTGCATCCTGGCAGCTTGGCCCTGACCCATCCTCACCTGGCCTGCTTTGACACTGGAAATCATAGTTCATCCCATTTCCTTCACGATACTGCAGCCAGCAGCTGTGATACACATCTTTCTGCAGGCTCCATCCCCTCCCTTTCCCCTTTCCTGCTTCTGAATTTGTAAGCCGGTTTCCCCTGAATTTGGCTGAAGGTGAGAGGTCTTACAGGTATTAACCTCAGAGATATCTTGTGAATGTAGTGAGCTGAGTTGGGGAGAGAGATCTTTGTAGTGCCTAGGGAAGGGTTTCCAGCCTTCCTGAACCCATATTAGGCAACAGAGAATCCACATTTCATTGCTGCTGTGATTTTTGTCATGTTTTCTTCTGTGGTTTTCTGGAGGAGTGGATGGGAATTTATGATTCATTCCCATGCATTTCTCCAGAAGAGGCACTCTCCCTCCATTTCTATGCAAAGTGAGACGTCTCGGGGCATCTCATTTTCTGCACAAGGGTCATCTGGGTGCTGTGCTGACACATAAGTCAGAGTCTTGGAAGTCTGAAGAAAGAAGGTTTGAATTTAAAGCCTTCCTTGGTTGAGATTAATGCCCTGCTAAAATATCAATATGTCTGTGGAAGCTTTTTCATAAATCACAGGAATCAAACATTAGTAAGAACCTCTCCAATGGAAATGAACTGCAGGTTTATTTTGTGGTGTTTTTTCTTTTTCTTTTTTTTTTTTTTAAGTGAGAGATCCAGAAAATCAGTTAAGAGTAGACAGGCTAGTCCATAAAACTGCCTGGGAGAATAATGTATTCTGTTTCAGACCTAAGGAAGGGCTTGTAAGCTTGAAAGCTTGTCTGCTTTTTCCAGTTAGCTTAATAAAAAAATACAGCTTCTCCCCACAAACCGTGCAGGTCTTCTGCCTTCAGACCACTGTGGCTACAAAATCATCACTTCTTAGAAAATAAATATAGGAGCTTCAGTCTCTTCTGATTAAAGTGAAACTATAATGGCTCTCACCCAGACAGTGAAGCAGCTTGTGAGTTATGGAAAGCTAAATATATCGTAAAGTCTTGCAGCAGCTACAGATCTATAGGAGCCTGGAGCTTTGTTAGGGAGGTGCTGGTGCAGTCTTTCCTGGAGGAACGTGTTTCCCTTGACAGCTTTCTCTGGGCTCTCCATACCTGGGGTTTTCCCTGGGGTTTTGTGGAAGTAGAAGGGGCAGCTCTTGGTGATCCCAGGTGGGGAGATGGCTCACCCCAGGGTGGGTGCACTTACCTCCTTGAGGTGACTTCTCGTGGGTGGCCTGCGCCCGTGGGTCATTTTCACTCTGTCCCGAGTTACATGATCCAAGGAAAGGCTCTCATCTACTTTCACCTTTAAAAGGAAGAAGAGGGGGGAAAGAAAAAAGGAAGAGGGTCATTAATTTCTCAAGATATGTCTGTAAAGTTGTCATGGTCACATGTGAAGGGATTTGGATCCAGGAGGATTTTTGAATATTTCACTACTACAGTCTCTGCCTCGACCTTAATTACAGCCTGCCTGCAAAGCCCTGCACATACGTGATGGATATTTAAGGTTTCTGTCCTGTACAGAGCCATGTTTATCTAACAGATGTGTTTACCTAACTCCAAAGCAGAGCATCAAACCTTCAGAGGTTTGCGATGACTGACCTCCCCTCTACCTAAAGGGTGGGGAAGGAAGGACACAAGGCAGCTTTGTTGTTCTCGCTGCCCAGGCTTGGACCGGCTCCTGCATGTGGCAGAGCACAGCGCTGAAATTGCTGTTGCCATCGTAGAGGTGAAAGCTCATTAATAACCGTGACCTGACCATGAACTGCATCAGCAGCGCTTCGTTACAGACCTTCCCTTCTACAGCTCTAATGACTGCGGGATGCTGAAGAGAAGGGGCGAGCAGTGACCTGGATGAATTGCAACTCTAGCTGAATTAACACATTTATTTCCTGGAATCGGATGAGAAATACACTGCCTCCCACACGTGGGGAGGGAGGTCCCCACCCCCTGGCAGGTATTTCTCTGTGCTGGTTCTGTAACCACCCACCCACCCATGCTGTGATGGCCAAGGGCTGGAGTCTGCTCCACCAGTGACCAAGGATGGGGAAACACCAGTGTGTTCTTGGTTTGCTGGCCACAAGTTTGTACAACGGGAGAGCTGGCAAGGGTGAAATAGGGATTTAACGGGAAAAATGGGTGCCAATCCCTGGCTGATATGGCAGAGTGGTTTTACAGCTCTTTCAGCAGACAACAGCTAATCCAAGCCAGCTGAGGGCTTGACCCATTAGCTTGTGCCTGCCCTGTGCAGAAATGCTTTAAATCTGAGGTCTGATCCTCACTGGAATGAGTGAGAATTAGAGCCTGGCTCCCTCTGAGAACCCGGATCCTCGTAAGGAGGATAACCCCAGGCTACAGGGCAGGAAGGTGACCTGAGATCCCGCCTTGCTGTGCTGCCGATGAGGTGTGCAGAGTTCACTGCCCACCCGAGAGCCACGTCCCGTGCCCCTCCATGCTCTGAGCCGGCCTGCCGTCTCTCCAGCAAGGGCTGAGCATCACTGCATTGCAGGACATCCCATCTCCCACCCGCTGAAACATGAGAGCAGGCCCAGCTGCTAAGCTCTTTGCTGCTGGGTTTTATCTTCTCAGGCTGCTGCTGGTCCCAGCTCGTCCTTTTAATCCCATGTGCTGCTTCCCCCTTGGTCCAACGGCCTGAGGAGCTGCTACACCACACTACCAGCAAAACCCTGACACCGAGTGCCATTTGCATTGGCAAAAAAGGAACATTTTCCAGCCTCTGCTCCTGCTTTTGCCCTCTGCTGAATAAAAGCAAAGCCCAAGCTCTCAGAGTTTGCATCTCTAGCACCGTATCTGCAGCATCTTGCCGACTGCTTCGTCCCTGCGTTACCCTGCCCATCATTCCCATGGTGGTGGTTTTGTGCACTTCCTTTCAGATACTGAAACAACTGCAGAATAGATACTGCTCCTTTGGTTTAGTTCAGGCCTGATTTACAAGCAGGGCAAGGTTAGTCAGGCTCTAGGATGTGCAATTTTCATCCCTGGAGAATCTGGGAGCGCAGGTGTGCTGGGGCCAGCTGAGAAGCAGGCAGGTTTGGCCGGGGCCATGGGAGTAACTTTCCACCAGACTTGTCTCCAGACTGCAGGCGGAATAGCTGGTGGACTGAGTCACTTCAGATTTTTCCAGTCTTGATGACTGGGCTATGTCCTAACCAGATCCCTCCATTTCCAGGCTGCTTGGTGCTGAGAATCATGGCAGACGAGTCTCCCCAGGCTGCAGCCGCAGCTTTACACACCTCAGCGCTGCAGCTGCTTCTCTGCACCCGCCGCTTCCATCGGGAGAGGGGAACAGCCCTGCATCCACTGATCCCAAACCCGCTGAAGCCACCAGACCGCCTCCCGCTGATTTTGGTGAGCTCTTGTGTTAGATGAGATGAGGTGTCAGCTCTTAGCAGCACAGACCATCCCTCCGGCACACCGTGTACTCAACCAGCTGCCCCTGCTTCCCTGCATCTAACCCTGGCCAGGAGAGAGGGACAAGCAGCAAGATGTAGGAGGTGCAAGTGGCTTCCTACACATTCTACCTTCTTGTGCTGGGAACTGAAGTAGCTAAAAGCTCCCAGCCTGTGGGGAAGCAACCTGGCCTGCCTTGCATACCATCCTTCTCTTTCCTTTGGCCATGGCTGGCATGCAGGAAGGACAGGGAGCAAGTTCTGCTTTTAGCTAAAAAAAAAAAAACCAAACCAGTGGAGGAGAACTGACACAGAAATACAGGAGTTTCAAAACTGTTTCTCTTACCTCATCAAATACTTTGTTTTTGCCTCTATTGATCCCTTCATTAAGAGCTTTTATCCACGATTCCTTTTCTTCCAAAGTTGGAGCTTGAAATTTGATATCATGAACCTGCAAGAGCAGAGAGACAATTTTTGCCTAAGCTTTCCTTGTCAGGACCAGAGAGCTCTCTGTGTATCACTTCAGTTTCTATATAACATCCAGTTCCAGCCTGTGTTTAAACTACAAATTCCTTTGTGCTTTGGCAAGTACTTCATCGCTCCCACGGACAGGATTTTGTTATGCTGAACAGCTTGTTGCTGTAGTTTTATTTTTGCAACTAGTAACTAGAATAGTAAGAAAGTAAGAATTTCTTCCTTCTGCAAAACACTTGGAATAGCTCTTAGAGCAGTGGTGAGTTGTACAGCGAAGAGTCACACTCTGTATAGAGAATCAGACTTAAAGTCCAAGATTTTATTCTGGTTCAGATGCAATAAAGTACTTCATCTTCAACTTCCCCCCAGGCTGCAAGCAGAGAGCATCAGGAAGGCTGCGTGCAGTGGGCTCTGCCTGCTTCCCTGTTCCGGCGGCTCTGCAGAACAGAACTGATACAGGAATCTGGGGCTCTGACCTTCACAAATTACTTTCCGGAGCAACTAAAATTATCCACCCCTTACAGGTGGGGAAGTGAGCTACAGAGAGGCTCATTCAATACACATACTTGTGGGGTCTCATTTGGAATAGTTTTTTTGGGTATTTAACATCCTACAGGTATTCTGCACCTTCCTGTTGCCTTCAAGAGCAGTCGTAGTCCCAGCCTTTCTGTAAATGAGGCCCCACACTCTGAAATCCTAGCCGTGTCTATATAAAACAGGGACTATATAAAATCAGGATGACAAAGTTAATGGAGACTGACAGTCGAATGCTCTTAGCAGCTCCTTGTTTTGTTTATGGCACAACAAAGCAGCAGTTGTTTGGGTCTCGGCAACTTCTGAAGGTACCATCAGAAATTCTGCAGAACTAAAGCCTGATGTCCTTACACCCACTCCCACTGACTGCCCTTCCCTGCTGCATTTGTTCCTCACTTCAGTGCCATGAATTTACATCTGCACACCACAGTGACAAAGTGCCAGACCCTCACAACCAGCATGGTAAGCAGGGAGGTAAGCAGCAATATGGGGAAAGATTATTTATTCAATTAGTTTGCACATAAGGTGATGGGACCACGTCTTCCTGAGAGCTCAGAGGAGAGGTTCAGGCCTGAACCACAGCCCTCTGGAAAAAGAGCCCTGTGTCTGGGGTGCAGAAGGACCATGCTAACCAGGGTACCTAAGGGAAGGCAAGGCTCCAAAGCAGAGCGACAGCCAGATTTTTAGTCCAAGCAGGCCTAGTTTTGTATGTGCTTAAAAACTTTTTTTTGGTTTGGAAACAATTTTGCCCCAAAGCTTTGTGATTATAAAAGCTTATGAGAAAGCTCTACTTGTGAGGAGCTGAGCTGCTGCACTGCCTGGCAAAGACCTGGCAGCCTGCACCAGGGTTTAGAAATCTCCGTACATGTTGTTCAAGGGAAGGATTCCTGCCTCACTTAAGGCTTCCTCTTCCAATGCCACTTTCTGTGCCTCATTCTCAACAAAAGCCTCTGGCCTCCCGGAGCTGAGACTGTGACTAAGCGCTGGTGTCAGCAACCCTGCGGCAGGGCAGAGCGAAGGCTCGGGGGGGTGGTTCATCATTAATGAGAAGCTGAGATGTCCCTCCGGCACACAACCCTCTGCTGTACAGTGTAACAATGGCCAACTGCCACGGCCACCGAATGCAGAGATCGTGGGGGAAAGGGACTCGTGGAAAGATGCTCCCAAGGCATGAGCAGAAAGAGCCCTCCGGTTTCTCAATGGGCTGCCCGAGGGAGGACAAGCAGCGCTCTGCGCGGGACCCTGCTCCCTGCGATGGGGCAGCGCGGGCAATGCCGGACTCGTGCCGCTGCAGCCCTGCTCCCTGCCTGCACAAGTCCCTGGGGCTGTGACACAGAGGAGCAGCCTCAAGGCTGGCAGCAAGTTCCTCCCAGTACACCCAGTTATCTTTGTTTCAAAACTTTTTTCTCATTTTTAGAACAATATCCACCACAATATCCAGGGAAGCGTCATACTGCTGGAGCGCAGGCTGGTGCTCGAGATGCTGCCAGCCAGAGTCTCTTTGCTGCCTTGCACTCCCTTGTCTGTCTGCATTTGTTTGTGTCTCACACCCTCCACGATGGCACTGGGGACAGGAGGCTAACTCAGAGCACCATGGACACTCTCTATAAAGCAGATGGCTGTGGAAAAGAGCTGGGAAGGAGCTGGAGGAGTTGGTCTCTGTCCTGTCTGCCACTGGGGCTCTGTGCACTCCTCTGAGACACCCAGGTCCTCTACAAACAAGAAACAAGGAAATTTATCTTGTCTGTATTTTATCTTGTCTGTATTTTTACTCATTTGAGTATTCACAGATCTCAGAGGATGTCTCTGGAGATGGTTACTCCCCACAAAATGTTAAGCCGGGTCTGTTCTCCAGCAGCAATTTAAGGCAGAGAGTCAGTGACACCAATATAAGAGGGCAGCAGGCAGGGTAAGGCATTTGCTCTCCTCCTTGCTCAGCCAGCTGAGACTGAGTCATGCCATAAACAACAGGCTGGTGTGCCAGGAAAAGCTGTCATGGCTAAACTGAATGTGATAGTGACCATTGTAAGCTGTGAATACAGACTACGCAATTTTTTTTGCTGAATCACTGGCTACATGTCCTGCAACAAGAGACTCGCACGCGGGTCACTGGCTGTGACGGCAGCGAGCACAGTGTCCCCGATTGCTCCATGTCTTCTCAGAGATATCAGTCTCTTCAAGCAGTGACACTCTTATGGCTATGCTGACCCTGCTTTCCAGGAATGAAAAGTGTTCCTGGGGTCAGTCTGTTGTACCTGCACTGAATGATTTAGCAGAGAAGCTCTGGAGAACCCTATAGCTGCATTTTACAACCTTTACCAACACCAGCTCTTTGCTGAGCAATTCTGCTCAATGCTGCAGATCTGCAGCAGAGGTGGATGACAGAAACCTGTGCTTGCTCCTCAGCTGTTTCAGTGCCAAGCCTGTCTTCAGTTCAGTAAGGCTGGGCTAACCTGGACTGTGAACGGCTGGTTTAGGTGTGGGAATGTGTTCCCTTCTGCTGACTTTTGGTACGGGGTGGTCATCTTCAGCAGAAGCCAAAGCAAAGCTGGGTCAGTAACATCTTAAACTATATCAAGAGTGCACCCGAGTCTATCCACCAGACGTGAGGTCATCTCCTGCCTTCTTCTACATGACTTTGTCAGGTTAGATCAGGGACGGAGCCAAGGGACTGTCAGTTATTCTTGTGGTTTTCTGCAGCTGAACCAAGAGCTACCTCATCCCTGGGAACAACGCAGCACCTCTGCCAAACTGGAGCAGACTCCTGCGTACACAGGGCAGATGTGCCTCACTGCAAACTGCTGCAGCTTCCAGGCTGGGCCCCTGCTGAAGGCAGCTGCAGGTACCTCCAAAGTTGACTAAGGGAAAAATAAGCAATGGAAGTTTCCACACCAGACCGCAGGTGTGGAGTTTGTGCCTGGCTGTGCTGGGAAATGATGTGTGGGGAGCTGCAGTGCTTGCTCATGGACTCTTTACCTTTTTCTTCCCATTCTTAAGACTTCTCTGCAGCTGAGGGCTTTCAGATCCGCTGGATACCAGACTTGTGCCAATCTCTGTAGTTTCTAGGCAGTTCACACCAAGCATCATTTACACTGCTTTTTGCATAGTGAGTGTGTTTTAAAGTCTCCAGGCCAAGGCTGCTGCCTTTTCTTACAAGATCAGCTCTCTGCATCCAACAGTTTTAATTTAATTGCTGCGGGTGGAACGAAGCATTTGAGATTTCTAAGCAGAGAGGTCTTTTGCACACTTCCAGCAGCACTTTGTTTCAGCTCCACACCAGTGCAGGCGTGTGACATGCTCATATTGTCACAGCTTGACAAAAATGTCATTCTTGGGAACAGGGTAGGCAGAATCTGGGGTAAATCCATTAAAGACCAGTGTTCAGCAAGACAACTTATTTATTCGGGTGCAACTCTAGCTACAGAGTAGTTTTAACTGGCTGATTCATGTCCTCTGCTCCTCAAGAATATCCCAGCCAAGATTTAAACCAGGATTCCCTTTCCTAGCTTGTTCGTAAGTCCCACCAACTCACTGGCTTTCTGCTGCGTTCCTTGGCATTGTGTTACAGAGAGGGGGCAAAAAAAAGCCCTAGCAAGATCTGGCAGAATTTGGCAAGGCAGCTCACAGGGTGATTTTAAACTGTGAATGGCAGCAAGCCTCCCAAATGGAAAATGTTTAGCTGATATATATCGCCACAGCTGCGATTTCAAAACAGAAGAAGGACAGTTGTGTACATTGGCCTCCTCATTGAAGCCTGTTCTAACCTCTGCCAAAGTATGTTGTGTGTCAACACCCTCACCAGATTCCCAGCCAAAAGGAGGGTGGGAGGGGAAGCTACAAACAGGGAACTTTTCATTTAGAAAAGCCCTTCCTTTCACCAAAAGAGCCTTATAAAAAGTAGCCTCTATCTAGGTCTCCAGTTAATCAGTGGCATGAAAAACAGGGGAGCTGTAAACCTGACAGCATGCCAAAAGGATGAAGTTACCCTGTCAGGGCAGAGTTTGGGTATATTTTCCTCCTAGCAAAAAACTGAAAGGTTTAGGAGCAGGTCTCACACCTTGCGTTGATTCATGCAGCAATGCAGAGACACATGCAGCTATCAGACACTTCGCCTCTCCAAGTAGCAAACTTGCAAATAGTAATAATTCCTCCTATGCCACCCATCTCTGAGCACACAGGCTTTTATTCGCCTCCCTGGGAATAGGTGTGCACTTGCAGCCATTGAGCCACCCTCTAGAAAACACACCAAGCCTGCCAGGGTTAGCCACTTTCGGTCTAAAACGGATGTTATTTCTGATCAATTGAGTTACAAAGCAAACACTAAACCTCTGCTCAGACTGGAGACTCACAGCTCTGGGATCCAGCGCTGAGCAGGAGCTCACTAGCCCAGGGTGTAAGTTTCCAGGTTATTGGCCTAAGAGATCTTATTAAATCTCCCCATGGGAGTGTTTTGGGGCAGGACAGTCCCTTGTTTTGTTGTTTTGAATGAAGTTGAGCACAATAGTGCTCTGAACTCAGCTGGGGTCTTCTTATATGAATAAACACTAAGTGACTGGAGTGAAAGAATAAGCAACAGTGACAACAATGACTAAACAACCTCCATTTATTTAAACAAAATGGAGATGAAGGAATGCAGGCAAGCTGGTATTTTTGCCTGTTCATATTTGTATGGAAATGAAATGTGTTGTCCGTCACAACCTCTCAGATGTGCATGGGGAGATTTAGTAAGATCTCTTAGGCCAATAAAATCACTTTGAAATTGGAAGTAATCAAAGTGTGATGCCCCAAAGCAACAACAGAAGCCTCCTAGCCCATAAAGATGCTGAAAGGGATAGGGAATCATTACAAAGATGTGTAATGATGATAACCTACATAGGAAGTAAGGCCAGCGTGTCCTTGCATCCATCCAGGGCTCAGATGGATGTATAGCTTCTTTGCAACGCCAGCTTGGTCGTTAGGTTCTGCATCTAATCAGATGCTGCGCAAGAAGCTAAAGATGTCGAATTTTATGAATTCTGCAAAATAAATCTTTTCTCCTAGGAACTGTTTGGCTCCAAGAAACTTTGGAATTTCTCAGATCAACAGTTCCAACTCCAGTAACTGTCTCAGGACATGGATCGGGATCATTGATTTCACTGGAACTTGGGCAAAGCTGCAGCACATACAACTGGGACAGGGAGACTTCCACACCCAGAGCACATGGGGGAAACACAGGGAATAGTAATTCTCAACTGCTCAGGGAGTACTGGAAGAAAGAAAATGATAAGGCAGGAAAAATACCAAGAAGCTGAGATGCAGGAAGACCCTTTCCCCAACACAAGAAGAAA